AAACAACAAGTGTTTGGTGCAAAACCAGACACAAAACAGTTGAGTCGAGAGATCCTGAGGTAGGGTGCGTAGCCGAGACCTCCGGGAACTCAAGACGAACACGAACAAGGATAATCACCGAGTGTTCAAACGATGACGTCCAAGTCTTAATGACGGTCAAAAATGGGGTGTCTACAGATGGTAACCTCTATACGCATCAAGGAAGCCAAGTCGATTGTGTCCTATCATCAGGTCTACCAGTTGGTCTATCCATGGTAGGGGAAAACTGTCCTTTAGGCATGCCTTGTTGACTGTTTTGTAGTCCACGCAGACACGTCATTTTTCGTTCTTCTTTGGCACTACTACAGTATTGGAGATCTACCTGGGACAATGTACTTCTCTGATGGCTCCTACCTCCAGCAAGTTTCCCGCTTCCTCCGCCACTTTCTCTGCGTGATGGAGCGCCGATCTTCGTGTGCACTGTATAATTGGTCTGGCAGTTGGGTGGACATTAAGTTGGTGACAGATGAAGTTTGGGTCAATGCTGGGCATGTCGTATAGTGTCCAGGTAAACACTTCGATGTTAGAGGTTAAGAATTCCATGACCTCTATTCTCTCAGTGCTGGATAAAGACGAGCCGAGCAAAAAAAACTTTTCTAGGTTCTTTTCATCTATCCTTACCTCTACCAAGTCTTCCACTACCTTCTGTTCAGCTACTTTGTCGACATCCGCAAACAGTTCATTGCTCTCTAGCTCTTCCACCATTTGCACGAACCCTTTTGCAGCACGACTTCCATTTACTGTGACGAAACATTACTTCGACATGATTTGGTCTCCAAAGATTTCTTCAATCACACCAGTTTCATTGGGGGAATCGTAATGCCTGATGGTAGGTTGATGCTATTGAGCGCATGGCATGTAGCCATGTCCTTCCTAGGATTATGTTGTAAGTGGAAGGGACCTTCAATATCCAGAATTCCACCTGTTTTGTCATGGTTCCTGCCTTGACTGGGAGGATTATCTTGCCTACCGGCCACTCTGGCATTGAGTTGAAACCGACAAGGAGAGATGTTGCAGGTGACAAGTCTTTGTCCTCCAATTTTAGCTGTTTGAAGGTCTCGTAGTACATTATCTTGCATGAGCTTCCTTAGTCAATCAGAATCCGCTTGATGTCAAAATTCTTGACGCGCAAAGTCACCATCAGCGCATCATTGTGAAGGCAATGTAGCCTTGCTAGATCCTTGTCTGAGAAGGATATGATGTTCGTAGCCTCTGTTCTATCATTTTTTATAGTAGGTTGTGCACTTAATACCTCTCTCAAGTGCTTAGCCTTTTTGATCATCCCTCTGAGTTCACATACCCGCTCAAGTTCGATGATTCCATGCATGACGTTGATTATGCCTTGGGGTGGACCGTCGACTGGCATCCCGTTCGGTTTGTTGAGGTCCTGGGGTGCTGGTTGTGTCCCCCTTTCTATGTACTGGTCCAAATGCCCAGTTGCCACTAACTCTTGCAGATGTTGCCTCAATGGCGTGCAATTTTCAGTGCGGTGCCCCTTCTCATCATGGAAGGTGCATGGGACCTCTTGTCATAGCCTTTTTGTGCTTCTCTCAACTTGGCTGGCCGCCGAACAAAAGGTTCATTACGTATCTCACTGAGAATCCAGTAGATAAGTTTATTGAATACTGTGGTAATGGCAGTGCGGATTCTTAACTTCTTTGTTTCTGGGTCTTCCTTATTGGCCGCCTGCCTCACCCATTCCTGCTTGGTTGTTCTACCGCGTTGACTTTTGCTGTAGTTTTTTTATCTGGCGTTGCTGTTGTGCCAGATTTTACTTTAGCACGGGCACTATCTTCCTCTACTTGGATATGTTGATGCACCCTCTCCATTAGGGCCTCCATCGTGAGGGGTGGCATCATGGTAATTGAGTCCCTCAATTTGTTTCCGACTGGTAGACCCCTTTTGTATTGTGTGATGGCGAGATTTGTTGGGCAATCCCCAATCTGGTTGAAAGTCTTCCAATATCGACTCTTGTAAGACCTCAACGTCTCCCTTTCGCTCATGTCAATGGAGAGTAGCTGATCAATCTCCACTGGTGTCTTGGTGTTCATTCTGAATCTAGTCACAAACGCCTCTGCCAATTGTGCCTATGAGGCAATGCTGCTTTCTGGTAGTCTTTCGAACCAGGTTAGACCTAAGTCGCCAAGGCTAGATGGAAACAAGATACACATTAGGGTCTCGTTTCGCCGGTATACTGCCATAACCTGGCGAAAGTGGTTTAAATGCATATAGGGGTCTGTATTCCCTTCATAGGTGGTGAATTTGGGCTGGTGGAAGCCTGAAGGTAGTGGTGCATTCTCAATTGCCGAAATGAACAGCGAGCTCTATAGCCTTGCTAATACTTTATCCGCTGGTTCGTAAACAAGGCGCGGTATTGGCATTCCTATCTCGACATTTCCATGTGTCCTAGGGGCCAATCACTGCAGGGCTGAAACTCTGCGAGGGTCGCGAGCCCTAGTGTCCTCCTTCCATCAGGCCCTCTCCTCAAGTACTATTTGCAAGTCGGCTGACCTAGGCAACTCTGTGTGCCTGGATGTCGTTTGGTGCATATGCGAGGGCCGATAGCTGCTTCCCTTTGTTTGTGACCTTTAAGTCCTCGTTCTCTCAGACCTGGAGTAACGAGTCCTGGAAGTCCTTGATTGAGTGTCGCCTGTTCTAAGGCTCCTTCTTTCTGCTTGTGATGGTGTGGTATGTTTGTTACGATCTTCTAAGTGGCGAGGAGGCGTGTTGCCTTTGCGCCCCTCTCCTGTCACCACCCATTTTCCCTTTATCTGGCGCTTCATTGTCTTCATGTCCGCCGCCATTCTCCTTATTAACTCGTCTTGCTGCCTTACGCGATCCTCCAAAACTTGAGGATCCAACCTCCGCCTCTGTCTATCAGGACTTTGAGAGCGACGGGGACTAGTGCCCCGTCTCTCCCTTGTGTCCCTCCGGGAGTTCCGTCGCTAGGGTTCTAATTCTGCCATGGGTAGGGCAGAGGGTAGACCTTCACGCCTCTCACCCCTCTCCAGGGTTTGCCCATTAATAGTAGATTGCGGCAAGTCTTCATTGTGCGCCATTGATTTCAACTAGAGAGAAAAACTTGATCAAAAGGTATTGTTCTTTGTAAATTTCTCACAGACGGCGCCAATTGTACGAGCACGAAATAATTTCCTCATATAATCCTATTGATCAAGTTTGCACTCCTCCAAACGTCGTCGCTTTACTTCCTAAAAACACAAACGTGAGCTAGCCGGCGGGTGTGTGCCGGATACCTCTCTGATGCCTAAGTCAGCAAAATAGACAATAGACAAAAGCTCTGTGTATTCGAGAATCAAAGTTGTGATACCTCTACATGGGTCCTGCTATGAGCTTTTATAGATTCCGTGTGGCACAATCCTAGTAGGACTCTTTTTCTCTAATATAGAGTCCTCCTAAGAATCAGAAAGGTAATGCTCATCTTTTTACACTCCCCTCACTGCCTAACCAAGTGAGATGGTCTTACCGCCGTAAAATGACAAACAACAGAGCTATCCCTAGCCCTTAGACAAACCCAACTCGGCGCGTCCACTAGTGACGCTTTGCTCGGTCATTGTTCAACTACACCTCGGTCCGGAATACTAAGACTGAGTTAATTACTATCATTCCGACCGAGGTAATAGTAACCATACCTAGACCAAGCTAACAGATGCAAGGTCCAATTGCGAAATCCTTCACTATGGCCCATAGATCGGTTCATTACAATGTTTGGGCCTAGCTCGGCCTTAAAAGCACATAAAAACTCCCTCTCAGTGTATTGCTTGGCATTTACTTTTTCTCTCTATCTAGTAAAACTTTTATACATGATACTCTAGATTATCTGTATATGATATTTTAATCCCAACTATAGAAAACGTTATGCATGAGAGCAAGTTTTCACATATTGATAAAATTTGTTCATTATGACTTGAACATTATGAGTTTAAATTACAGAGATAGTCTCTTTTTAAGACTACATATATTTGATTCTTCTCAAATTTCATGTGGCAAGAATCTATGAGATACCAATGCATCAACTACTTCTCAAAAAATTTAATTAAAAGTTGAATTGCTCATTCAACATTGATGTTTAATCAAGAAATAATATAGCATAGAAATAACTAAGATGTAAGAAAAGACAAGGGCGAAAATATTGTAGAGTTCCAACTCCACACAATAAAAAATTGTGTTATCCATAAATTTGGATATGAGGACAAATTTGAACTCTTGGACAAGAACATTACCAAAGTTTGCAAACAAGGTTTAGTGGAAGATACCCATGTCCACCAAATAATGTCCTGTAGGTCTGCCAAACCAAGAGATTCTTGTTTGGCATGACCCCTTAGGCTGCTGTATTTGGATTAATTGTGATTTGATAAAAGATTTGTGAAAGAAAAAGAAAAAGAGAAAAAAATTAACTTATATTTCATTCATTTTTACTCTCCATCCACAAATTCATACTTAAATTCTTAATCAAAATACAATCTTATACTGTGAATGCCTTGAAACATTAAAAAAAAAAAAAAAATGGTGAAAATGCTAATATAACCTTAGTGTTGAAAAATATGTTTAAAAAAATGTATTAAAATGTGTAAAAAAATATATAAAAATATTTTGAAATATGTAAAAAATGTATGGAAATTATAAAGATTTTAATATTTTTAAATTCTTAAAGACAATTTTAAAACTATCATTAGTAAGACCCAATATAAATGTGGCATTTGTGTCATGGCTTTATGGAGACAAAGATGCCAAAGATTGTGACCTCAGTTTCCCCAAAATGAAAAGGTGATGAGTCATATGGATGTCTTCAAAATATAGGCCTTATCTCATTTCCTTGTCCAATGGGAAACCTAACCATTTCAAACCACTAAAAGAGATGATAATGACAAATCTAAGGATAAAGCACCATAGAAAAAAATGACTACAATAGCACATTAACAAGTCATCACCCTCCAATCCTTCATTTATGACCATATTATATACCTTTATTTATTTACTTATTTATCACCATCAAGTCTCTTCAATATAATAACATTTCATTGTACCCCTTAGTTATTGTGTGTATATATATGCTCCCTCAAATTAAGCCTGCTGGAATTCGCATAGTTACAAAAGTCATTGTTGCTAAGACTTAAGATATTCTGATCTTCTTCCTTTATCTTTGTTCTTGTTATTCTTTGTTGGTTGGATTTGAACATGACAATGGGTGGATTTGAGCAAATTTATGAAGATAAGGCCTCCAAGAAAGATGATGGTAATGATGCACAACCTGATCAACTGTTGATTATGGAAGGTGAGAATGATAGAAGAGACTCTGAATCCTCCATTGGAGATTCAACTAGTTCTAGTACTGTATCATCATCTTCTTCAGCAGATCTGATAGATGATGCAACCTCTTCAACATCTTCTTCATCACCTTCACATGGTCCTTTGTATGAATTGTCAGAGCTCATGGACCAACTCCCCATCAAGTGAGTGATCACTACTATAATCTATCTATACAAACACACAAATATGTGTATATATATATATACTAGATGTGGTGGCACACATGATAGATATGCATAGGATGGTTTCCTTCCGGCAAATAAAGTTGTGAAGGTCCAATTGAATTAAAAAAAAATGAAAGAATTTTTAATCTAAAAACTGAAACAGTTTTTCAATTGTGTAGAACTTGTAGTTGATGCAAAATTTTAGATTCAAGTTTGCCCCAAAATTTGTGCAACTATTATTTGTAGGACAAATTGTTAGCAAAAATAGTGTGACGGAGTTTACACCAACTTACGTAACATAATATAATATATATATATATATTGATCAGTGACATAGATTTTAAACTTTAGAAACATCTTCACACGCCAGATAAAACTGCATATATCTAATTTTTTCTGCATCCTCAATTAATAGCAAACAAGGAGGGCGGATAAGGGGTCATAAACTTTCAAAAAGTCTAATTACCACGTAGCATTTTGAGTATTTATTTATAATAAAAAAATTGTATTTTAGCCCCTTAATCTATGTAATTTTAATTTTACTTTAGCTTCTTCTTTGCAAAATATATGGGTCAATGACGGGAATCCAATTCACCTCCCATACTCCTTTTTTTGTCTTCTTGAATTTTATTAGTTCATTGCTCATCTAGACAAACTATGAACCAATAAAATTGACAAGGACATAGAATGGAGCGTGAGAGGGGATAAGTGATCAAGATTTGCTGCACAATGACAAGAGTCTTATGCACTGAATTATCCTTTCATATATATTTATTGTATCTAGATGTATGTGTAGGAGGGGTCTTTCAAAGTATTATCAAGGTAAGTCTCAAACTTTTGGATCCTTGGCTTGTGTGGAGAACCTTGAAGATCTTGCAAAGAAAGTAAGACAATCATGCAGTAGGAGGAAAATGAAGTCATGCAAAAGCTATGGAGGAGGGGTAGACAATCATAGTACATATAGTCCCAAAGCTACCATATCAAAGAAAACTTCAAGTTCAAGGTTGTCTCTCCTATCTTCACTAGGTACCAGAGGTACTTTGTTCAGTAGTTGTAAACATCCCATATTCATTCCTGTACAGAAGAACCTCTAATGTAATGTGCAAACTTCTTGTAATTAACTTTGATTGGCTTTTGTTGTTCTCATCGTTTGTCTGAAATATATTTGGTGAAATAAAAATCTTCACTATTTCAATTATCTTTGGATGCAAATGCAGTTGTATTATAGACATTTTGGTTCCGTTGTTTGCCTTGAGTTTTAAAAAATAAAAATAAAATAAAAAACTTCACCCCTTTTTTTAGCAATTACCGAACTCATCAGTTTTTTTTTTCAAATTATAAAAAGTAATTTCCAAACTCCACTTCTTTGTCAATCGATTACTGGTTATTTATAAATATAAAAAGAATTACATCCATAATCATAATCCAACAATTATAGAAATCCAACTTAACAAAGAGTCTCTATAATAGGAAATTAAGAAAGAAATAAATAATAAAACGAAAAAAGTGCAACAACTAACTCAACAATGAACCCTATATACTACAAGAAAAATTATCAATTTTGTTTTTGATAAAAATTGACCCCTTGATCACCAATTGAATAGGTATTGTTGGGCTCAGTTAACCCACCTCAAAGCCTAGATAATTTAAATAGTTTATCTTAAAGGGTCCAATAAACAAACTATTTATACCAAAAAAACAAAATTGATCTGACATGACTAGTTCTATATGAACTAATCAATTTTGTCTTAAAATAATGAATCATTTATTTTTCTTAAGATAAATGCAATCTAATCATACAACTATTGATATCCAATTATCTTGATTTTTGAATGCTCTATTCAATAGACCTTATTAAATGAACTGTGCAAATAACCAAAATAGGATCTGAAATGAGCCCATTCAAACCCAACAAAATCTCAAGTTAGATGCACAAATGGAAAGAATCCGTTCCCAATTAAAAAGAGTATGCATGCATCCAACAAACTACTTTCTTTAGAATATGTTTGAATCATAAATTTTTGAATCAAAAGATAAAAAGAAAATAAAGTAAAAAATGTTAAATTATTTCTTTAATTTATTTTTATTTTTATTAAATATTAAAAATAGCATTAAGATTGCAGCAGCATCTTTCAGAGCATCATGAAAAAAGACAAGTAATAAATCCAAATTTAGGTATATATATTTGCTAGTGCCATTTTCTTGACCAATATAACAGACATTTTCGAAATTATTCAAACAACAAATTAACAAAACATTGTTTTCAAGCCCAAGGAGAAAGCAACCTTCCCCAAATAAAAAATTGTTCAAACTGGAACAAGAATCCGAACCTGTTTGCTTTGCTCATATCCCTTAATAATATATTATATACAAATCGGCAATTACAAATCTCTTATTATTGGTTTGAATTATGAATTTAAATAGAAATTTAAAAAAAAAATTTAACTTACATTCCATTCACATTTGGTTGACCTTTTTCTTTTATTTTTTTAAATTTTTACCCAAATCCATAATCTAAACACAATCTAAATGTGTCTAAATTTGGCAATTAACAGGGTAATTGAGGAACAAAAAAGCTGTGACAAAAACTATTCATACCAAGAGCTATATATGCTTAACAATAGGAAAACGTTTTAAAATATTCTAAATACAAGGCGTATAGAATCTACATTTGTATTCCCAAACTATAAATGTCAAAAAAAAAACTTCTAAGAGCTTGCTCCATGAATTTCTATCTTAAAATGTCAGATCTTGTACACAGGTACAATACCGAGTAGATTAAAGCATTTTCGCATGACCGCTGCAGTTGCTTCACACAGCGAGAGCCTGCTTGTCTCCTCTGCTGACCCAACAACCTGTACAATTTTAACAATCATGAAGTTGATTCAAAAGTATGCTGTTAATAGTGTGTAAACCAAAAACATCTTCAATTACAAGATAATAGTGCATCATTTCATCCATCTCAAAAAACCCAAGCAAAAACCCATATATCTACCTCAAACTTAAACAAGCAAAAAAAAAAAAAAAAAAGTGACTTTTATAGAAACTAAAAAGTATGCACACTCAGATGAGTATGCTTAAAATCGAGAATTACAGATTGGCTGTAGCAGAAAGACCCATGAGTGAGTTTGAATTCATTCGGCAGTTACAGAAGGGTAATTTGGGAATAAGAAAAGTTATGACAAAAGCGTTCATACCGAACCCTATACAATTTATATAATAGTATAGCATACCCCATGGTGGTGTCAAATTCTTGCATAGATAAACCTAACAAGTTCGAAATTAAAAGAGAGGCCCTGCTTTATGACTTCTAACACTACGGAAGGGGGAGAGAGAAATAAACAGATATACCATTTAATATATCACTAGTTCTAGATTGAAAGAAATAATTCTATCCCTATCGGTATTGATTTGATGTTATTTAAAGATTCTCATACTCTGCATTATCACAACAAATGAAAAAGATGTTGGGAAAATGGTTTATATAGGTATATTTTGGGCCAATTTTGAGCCCAAAATTGAGTGGGTCCTGAACATATTTTGGGACGGATCCGAAGAGGTGAAGTGTTCCTTGCCGCATGACAAGTCACACAGTGAAGACGAAACGTCAAAACCATTTATGAGTGAATGAGAAGTTGAAATCGTTTTCGGATTCATGGAATAGGAAATTTAAGGAAGTAAACGTGGGTTTCTTTAGAAAGGGTTGTCCTACATTGAAACTTTAAGAGAGTTTTATTGAGTTTATAAGCTCTAGCCTACAACACTTGGGTTGGGCCCCAAGGAGCACCCCAAGTTTGTAGAAGGGAGGAGTTATAGACAAAGTGAACCTTAACTCAAACCACCACACACGCGCGTCGCCGCCGTCCGGCCTCGGCGGGCGCGAACGCGGGTCGGTTTTAATATTAATTTTTTTTTCAAAATTTCTTGCGGGAAAAATTAACTTTTGTAATTCGAATTTGAATTTGAATTTGAATTCAAAATTCTTGTCCAAATGTTGTGCCACCTTCAGTCCGAATTTCCTGTAGTTATATCGAACTGATTTAATCAGTTTCAATTTTGTTAGACAGTCCAAACAGGTCTTAATCTGTTGAACCACCGAACAGATTCAGTTATAAAACTGTCCAGGCAGTTTTTCAGCAATCTGTCCAGATCTATTTGATTTTCAAAACAGTATCTGTTGACAAGTTTTGCACCTGTTCACTACAAGTTTTGCACCTGTTCAGGACAGCACTTGTGTACCTATAAATACCAACATTTCCAACAGTCTAAGAGATCCGAAAATCAATCTAAAAAGTCCCTTTTCCTTGCTGTTCAGATTATATCTGTTTGCATTCATTTTAATCTTCATTCTAGTTTTAGAACTAAATTTTCAGAGAGTAAGAACACAGGTTTGTTTCGCCGAACAATTTGTTTTGGAGTGCTACTACAAATTGGTTAAGATCATTATATCTTGGGAGATAGACGCCACTCAACCGTAAGCACCGTAGCGGGGCGAATCTGTCTTAAGGACAGAGTGTCACACACTCGACTTTGTCTTTTATTTTTTAATTCGGTTCGATAAATAAATTCAGTATGTTATTTATTTATTTTGTTTAAATTAGTTTCAATTTATTTCAATTTATTTAATTTACACAAATTGTTGTTCCAACAATCTTAAGACAGATTCGAATTATTCTGTTTACAGAATTTTTCGTTTGTTTTCCTTCCTCTTTCTTCTTTTAAGAAAATTATTTTCTGTGGATTTACAAAATAATATTCTGGTTGGAAAAACAAATAGTAATTATATGTTATTTGACAGATAGTAGTAATATACTGTCTATTTTCTTTGACAACTTACGATACTGATGTCATTAACAATTTAGAATATATTTTTGTGAAATTTTTTCAGAAATTAATTTTGGGTTTTAGAAATTATTTTCTGAGTTTTCATTACTTAAAATTCTGTTTCAGTATTTTAATTATTGAAGGGTTACTGAAATTAATTTTCTGTGTGGAATTAATTTGGTTAAATAAAATTTTATTTTATTTCCAAATTAATTGAAAAATAAAAGTTATAGTTTTTATTTCTTTTTCTGTGTGGAATTAATTTGTTTAAATAAAATTTTATTTTATTTTATTTTCCAATTAATTGGAAATAAAAGTTACAATTCTTGTTTCTTTCATTTTATAGAATTTAAAATTCTGTGGTTTTTGGTTTAAATTTTCTGTGTAGTATAAAATTATAATTATAATTTTATTTTATAATTTATAATTGATGGCTACTGAAACTAATGCCCAAACAAGTACTACTATGGTGGCTGCAATGACGCCAACCCCCTCTCCTGTTGTAATAGTACCGGTAAATCATGGTGAAAAGCCAAAGAAGTTCTCAGGAACTGACTTTAAAAGATGGCAACAGAAAATGTTGTTCTATCTTACAATTCTAAACCTGGCTCGTTTCCTCCGTGAATATGCTCCTATCTTGAAAGAGGATGAAACCGACCGGCAAGTGGTTGCTGCGGTTGATGCCTGGAAACATACCGATTTCCTTTGCCGGAACTACATCTTGAACGGACTTGACAACACATTATACAATGTCTACAATCCTATCAAGACAGCAAAGGAACTTTGGAAGTCTTTGGAGAAAAAATACAAAATGGAAGATGCCGGCTCAAAGAAATTTGTGGTTGGCAGATCCCTGGATTTTGTAATGGTTGATTCAAAAACTGTGATCAGCAAAGTTCAAGATTTCCAACTCATTCTGCATGACATTCACGCAGAAGGTATGTCTCTCAGTGAATCCTTCCAAGTTGCAGCCTTAATTGAAAAATTACCAAAAGGCTGGAAGGAATTCAAGAACTACCTCAAACACAAGCGCAAAGAAATTTCTATGGAAGAATTAATTGTGCGCTTGAGGATTGAGGAAGACAACCGCAATTCTGAAAAGCGGGCTGGTAAGCATCCTATGGAGTCTAAGGCAAATGTGGTGGAACATGCTTCAAAAACCAAGAAACGAAAGTCTTCTGGAGAATTTTCATCACAAGGCTCTAAAAGGAGGAAAAATAAAAAGTACAAGTTTAATGGCAAATGTTACATCTGTGACAAAGAGGGACATTGGGCGAAAGATTGCTGTAGCAAAGGCAAAAGCAAAAGAAGAACAAGCAAGAAACCTGCTCAAGCCCATATGACCGAAGTGGACAAAATTTTCAATGGTGTAGA